GCCGAAAGTGACGCGTCTTATGACGAAAAGAAACTATTTTAAAGTTAAAGGGATTTCAATAACAAAGAAAAGAGAAAGACAAAAATTTTATTTTATTTATTGAAATTTAGCTGACCATACAACGCTGTTTCGAGCATTGCCAAGTACTCACCATCAGTGGTCTTAGGAAATACTCAAATATCTTTTTAATTAGTTTATGGCCCGTACGTTCGGACCGTAAGTGCCAAGCTTAGAACTCGTGCCTGTCAAATCAGAGCGATGACTAATCGTGTTGTTCCACAAGTACCCAAGACTGTACAAATTACCTTGCCCAAGCTCCAAGTTTTTTGTCACTTTTTATTTTTTAAGTGACACTAACCAAAACACTTATCGTACTTTAAACTAGAACGAGCTTTTAAACTACAGCTTTATTTGGAAACACAAATTTGTAACTATTGATGAATAAATTCTTAGACTGACTGTAGATAAAGTCAATATCCAGTTAAATTGTCTTAATGAAAGCGTCTATAGAATTCGATAAAATCTTCTTAACAGGCTTCCGTAATACCAGTAATCGAAATCAGGCTTGCGGAAGTATATTTATCCAAAAACAGTGTTAAAATTGCAAATCCGTGATTCAAATCTGGCAATAATAAAGGAATGGAACTTTAAAGATTCTTGTTATGATTGTGAACTCAATATTATTTGAAGCAATTCTATAGAAAAATTTAGAATTTAGATTGGATGTAAACTAAGAAAGTACTGAAATTGTTAGCTAGTTTTCAATTCATTTTTATCATAGACTTATTTTAAGCTCTTGAGTGAAAATTAAACCTTTTTCCAGAATTTGGACATAAAAATCATGTGAACTTAGGTTCAAAAAGCATTAAGAGTAGAATTTCAACTAAGTTTGTTTATGCTATTGTAATTTGTCTTTTTTTTAATAAAAAAAATAGAGAAAGAAATGTTATATAGTATTACTTTTATATACGATATATTAATTCCCAATTTTTTCAGTATGTTAATCATATGCATTCTATATATACATTCAAGACAAAAGTCACAGAATTTTTTGCCGATTAAATTCTCTATTTTAGATATCTATTTCTTGGAGTTGTAGAATCAACACGATTAAAATTTTCAGATCAACGCCATTATTATATATGAATTCTGACAACTTGTATTGGGTGTTTTATAAAAAATAGGGATAATTTTTTTAGGACCACTATTTCCTGGTGTTATAACACTTCTAAATGTTAATATATATTGTGTTTCTTTACGCTATTCCCTTAATTAAATGCGTTTACAATCTATACCACTAATATAATGCTACGAATATTATATATGGGCATTCCAAGGATTCACTTAATAATCAAATGTTTAGATTTGAAAATTTCCTCAAAATAAGCCCATTTTTGTTCGAAATAGAATTCTTCTCACGGGACATTAAAATTTGTATAAATTTTTACAATAAAGACGTAAATAGTATTTTTCGTTTTCCAAATAGACTTGATGAATATCAGAATATCTAATTTTGATGAAGTAACAATCTGTAATAGTGAAGCAAATTTATAAAACTGTTGTTTACACGTTAGTCTTAAAATTAGTACAGCAAGTACAATTGTCACTTGCGAATAATCAACTAAAATTAACAAAACTATAAGCTTCAATTACGTAAACCTATTGAATACTAACAATACTAATACTAATAATTATGCTAATACAAAAAAAACTAATAGACGTTTCCAAAGATCACTGAAGACGGATATTTGGCGGTATCTGTAACATCTAAATGATCAGTCCAAGAATTGACTTGATTGTTATATATTTATTAATAATAATAATTAGTATTATATATTTGGATTAGTCGGTACGAAAATACTTTTAAGAAAATCTGTAATTATCAGTTTCCATATGTTTTATCACAGATTCTAAATACTCCTTTCAACATTTAAAACAATAGAAAATTGTTAAGGATGCTCTAGATTAGGGCTGTCCAAAGCCCGGCCCACAGACCACTTGCGGCCCGGGAGATTTTTTTAATCTACTACAATTTTACAAATTTTCGTTTGGTGACCCAGTAAAACTACATTGTTATATTTTAATGACATACCAAATAAATGAATTTAAATTAATACGATAATAACACTAAATTTTACATTATAACCGTATTTTTATTTTTCTCCGAAACAACTATGAACGTAGGTATTTGTTTCTGCGGCCCTCCAATC